TTTAAGAAACATATTTGCTCGAAAGAGAAACACTGAAAAAATCTTTCCCTTTTTAGCATTAGTTTACAGCTGATGGAAGGAAAGAGTAGGAGAATGCCAATTTCAGGTGAGGCTGGGCTATGTTCACATAGTACAACTGTTGCTCCTGTTCATTGCAGCATTTGCACATCTGCCTGTTTTGATGCAACACTTGGCTAATAACTACAAACACTGGAAAACACTGGATGAGTTAAAGTGCAAGAGTCTCAGGCTCCCATCAGAAAATAACAACTGACACTAAGGCAAGAAAAACAGACCTCTTGATATACCAGTTTCACTGTGAATCACTTACTGACTTAGCTACAAGAGGGATAGCGTTTCCTTTCCAGTGAAATTAAGACTGTGTGGCAAGAAGGAAATATTTTATTCATCACTTTTAAGCTTATCTGAATCCTACAGAAAAATGTTTTCAAAAAGGCCACATAATCCACATATGAATAATCCACCGATGAGAAAGTGCTCTTTAGAAATAACATTTTGTGCCAGAAAAATGTACTTCTGAAACTAATTTTTAATACTGAACATGCATTTGTCAGATCTTGTAACTGATATAACTGTATTCACTAACACAACTGTTTCTCAGAAAGGGGTAATCTAGTCACCAGTAGAGTAAGAATAGGTTGACAAATAAGGATAAAACCTTCCCACTTACCTAGCATAAATTTGCTCCAATTCTGTCTATGTTCTTCAGCTCTCTGAATCACAGTGCTAAAGAGAACATGTACAGTAGAACAAGTAACCTCAATAAATTGGATACAGTAAAAAAAACAAACCCTGAACCATTTAAAACAACCTTCTTATTACAGAGACTGTCAGAGCCCCACCTGTTCTCTTTTTCATATAAAATCTTGATATGAGTCAAATTCCCTTAAAATTGATCATACAAGGGAGGAAAAATAATGTGTTCTCTATAATTCGTGCCATCCACATGCTTCTCTGCCATCTTACAGATGTTACTGTGCAATGTTTCATCAAATTTTACACAAAAACCGTTGTGGTACTTGATCAACATCCTTTTTTATAAAGTGGTGTTTGTACACATGGTCATCAATTTTATTAAACTGATGTAAATTTTATGATAAGTCCACATATTGTGCCACTTCTAGGACGAACCTGTCACTTTCTAAAAAAGCTTCCAGGTTATAATTTATAACAGCATTATAATTTGTACTACTTTTTCCCTCTGAATAAAATGCTGTTTGTTTTGTGGTGTAAAGGTATTTCAAAAGATGTAAATAAGTTAGAAATCAAACATAGTTCTTCATTAGTTTTAAGAGATTAAATTTATGCTAAAGCTCCCAAAGCACAAATGCATATTTTTGTACATCTCATTTTAATCACATGCAGAACATGAGTTCAAATTTTAGACTATTCTCAGACTATTCAGTTAACAAATAGTAGCAGAGCTGCTGATTTTTAACACTGTGCACTCCAGGCTGCAGACAAGAGCACCAAACCTGTGGCTGCAGTTGAAGCAGCAATCCACTAGTCATTAAAAGGAAAGGTGTTGGTACATACTCTTTACCTCCCCTGTGCTGTATCACGAACTGAACCCAGTAAAGCAAGTCAAAAACCAAACCCAAAGTTTAGGTTGCTGTGCAAAAGTTAAAATGATGGTTGTTTACTGCAGGTAATGTGCCAACCTTTTTTGTATGTTTTGTACCAAGTTCTGAAACAAAAGGAAATATTCATTAAAAGAGTATGTGCAGAGAAATGTATATAAGCTATATTTTTGTTAGAATTGTAATAGAACCTTACTTTTGTCATAGCTAAGGCAAGTTGCTGTGTATTAAAGTGCTGCACTGTATATATTTGAAGAATGGTGGTTTTGGTGAAGTATGTTTATTCATTCTTTTCTATTATCTATTGCAACATTCTTCAAAAACTGTTTGCTTTTACCATTCCTTTACTTAGAACTAGTGCTCTTGGTGGTTGTTGTACCTTAACTATTCTGATGACTGAACGCTCACTGCAGCTTGCATTAGAGAAAAGAAATTCACAAGATTGAAGGCTTTGTCATCTTAATTTACTTCGTTAAATACAGCAAAACTGTAAGACCAGATCCATGTAAAACATTTCAATTCATTATTATTTTTGTCACACTTCTGTCACAAGGAAGAAAATGTGAATGGTGGAAGGAACCTAAGAAATAAAGTTCAGCCTCAGTTCTGGTTCACAAGTTAAGGCGTTAATGTGGAATCAGTGTATTTGTTGCAAGATCCTCTGTTTCTTCCCACAGTCAGAGACTAAGCAAAAAAGTAATTTGTGTAGAGAAATGTCCTCTTCAACAGCAAAAGAAATCAGCATAGATTAATTGTCGTCTGCCAGTTGTGTCAGATCTCCTAGACTTTAACCTGTCCAGTTGATTAGCAGCTGTTTGTTTCATGCTATTGTCAGTGCACAAATACTTAAAACAGTCACCTCAGAGTTGTACAAGTGTTAAGGTTAGGTCTGATAAAGATATTTACTTTCATGACGTTAACATATGGAATACTTCTCAACAGCAGGTAGCAAACTCTTACTTAACAGGAGTGGGAAGTATAGCCTTACTGTGTTCACTATTATGCTCAAAGTTCCATCTTTAAAGGAAGAGACCCTTGGGAGATCTATTACCAATGGAGTGTATTTGAGAACAACTCCACTTTTGATAAACATTTATACATGCCGGTAGGGCTATTTGAGTCTAAATTACCTCCCTGTAAAATGCACAGTGAGTTTTGTGACTAGAACTGTTCGGTTAAATTGGTCTGTTTCTCTACCAGGTATTCACTTAAAAGCAGTCACATAAAAATGAAATAGTAGTTCTCGTGGTATAGGAAGAAGAGATAATAAAGAAGATGATGGTCCTTCTCTCTAGTTGTAACTGATGATAGCGGTACCCTCGCTAAAAACACAAAGTTTTATCAGCTTTTGCTGTAAAGTTTTAGTAACAATGTGTAAACAAACACTTCTATACAACTAAATAGTCATTTCTCAGTTGAAAGAACGGAAAAAGAGACAAAGAGAAACTGATCTCCCAGCTTGTTCTGGGGTATCCAAAAACCCAACACTTGCTGATGAAGACAAGCTGAAACAATGCAGACTGACAGGCAGAAAGGTGTAACGTGCCTTCCTCCCCCAAGTTTAATACCATATACCCAAAGGCATGTTATCACCAGCCGCAATCCAAACACTTCTATGCTAGTCTCTACAGAATAGCCCCCCCGAGGAAAATACGATGCAGCTCAACACTGACATAACCTTCCTGAATTGAAATAAGAGTAATTTAACAATTTCTCCATCTGTTTTGTGTTTTTGAAATCTATCATTCTGAGCTCTACACTCAAATAAGACTAGTTGTACAAGTTGACTAAGTGGGGAAAAAACTACAGCTCAAAATTTTACTGTCCCTCTACCCTGCCTTCCAGGGAAGACTATGGTCAGAGTCGAGAGGCAAAGCTTGGCTTCTGGGTGGTAGGGAGAAACAAGGCTAAAAGGCTCCTTGGTTTCTTCTAGGAATCTGGAGCTTCCTTCTTTTGCTTCTGCTCTTGTCTGATCTGCTTAGCCCTTTGTTTTAATTGAACTTACTTGCAGCCGCTAGATCTTAAGTCTGGAATTACAACCCTGTAGTCTCCTGTACTGAAAACAGTTCTCATTGATTTAAAGCGAAGAGATGGCACTGAAAAGTTGCATGAGACTTACCTGAAACTGTTTAAGCACTGGATCTTCTAAGTAGACCTGAGGATAGTGGCACCTACTTCTACGTGGCTTTATGACCACTAAGTTCCCAAACCCCCCCCCCTCCTAGCTCTTCTCTGTTCAAATGGTAACTTGTCACTCATTATCTCATCCTCCCTCTCACTTTCTTTGTATCAGTTCTGGGTTTAACTTTACTTTTTTTGTTTTTTTGGAGCGGAGGCTTACTGCTTCGGTTTGGGGTTTTTGTTTTAGTTTTTTTTTTCTTCCTACTCCTGTTTAGCTTGCAGATTACCACTATCTCAGGCTTGAAAAAGGCATTGTGTACTTAGAGGCTTTTTATATTCAAACTCCAGAATACAACTTATCCTTACAAACTTCATGCAGATTCTCTGCAGTCACAGTTTAGCTGAGAATTTAGTAATCATCTGGCAAAAGTGTTTTGCTAGTACTGAACACATCAACTGCTACTGCTTAAGAAAGTATTTTACATTCTGAAAATGTGCGGTAATGCCAGTGCTTTTTATTAGACACAAATTAATTTGATGAATGCACCATGGAAAGACTAAGGTAAACCAATCACACTTCATGCTAGACATGGTAATGGTGCTGTATACACACCAACAGTGTAGGTTAACCCAGGGTAAAATTGCAGCTATGCAAGCAAGGAGTATCTTTATAGCGTGCTTTGCCAAAAATTAGAACCTGAAAAATCGGTATTGCCTACTTTTCTTTCTTGCTCTTACCCTTGGTGCAGGATAGCAACTTCAAATGCAAAAATTCTATCTGAGAACTATTTCTTTTGAGGTTTTTTGTAGATACATAAATCTGAGCCATCACTGACTACAGTTTAGCTTCAGGCAGTAAGTTACATAAAGCAGGAAGCCTCAGATATTTTCAGTGCCTCCTTTCTGCACATAACACTGTAGAATGCCCCCAACTGATTTAGTTATGATCCATCCGGGGATTTTCACAAATACTAATTTTTACATCCACCCATGGTATTTTTAAACACTAGAAATAATATTAGAAACCATTTAATGTGTCATCATTATCTTTAGTCTTTCAAGAGAAAGCTATTTCTGCTGACAGAGTAAGCCAAGTAAGTTTCAACATGCGAAATTCTCCTTCGAGGACAACAGTAGCAACTAATAAAAATTCCAATATAATACATAACATTAAGTGTAAACCTTACTGGTAGTCACACTTGCAGTAGCTCAGACTTTCTTTATGTTCACATTTAACACACATCCAGTTTATGCATATGTAGCCTTTGTTCGAGCAATTTAAAATGCGAGCTGCAAATCACCATTTTGCGCCAATTTTTGGAATAGTGTTAGACTGCGGAGTCTAGATTCTTGTTCACCATCCTTCCACAAAATGATGAGGTGGTCAGCAGAGCACGTAGCCAGTCCCAGTTCACCAAAGTACAGGAACATCTGCAATGAAACTATTACTATTACCATGATGCTCACATGCAATTGTCAGCTTGCTCAAGTGTTCAGTGTACAGCTGGACTAAAACATGTGTCTGAAATGGTTCTGCTTGAACATAGGTATGCAAAATTATAATGTATGCTTTCTACATGTTTGAGATGTCATAAAATCCCTACATGATACAACTCTTAAACAGCACTTCAGACTGAAAGATCTCAGTTTAGAAAAAGCAATAAAGCCTTACAGATAGGGAAGCTAAGGTACAGAATATTGAAGAAACTTGTTCCAAGTCAGCAGAAGAGTGAGGGACTTGTGTGAACTCTGATCTCCTGGCTGCTTAGGAATAGAAGCCACTGTTCTGTTCACTTGGGAACACTGTCCCTTTCCCACACAACAGCACAAGCTACCATCACCAGGTCTGGAAGGATCAGAGTAAACAACTGTGACATCAGCATGTGCCTGCTCATGCAAAGGAAGCCAAACCAGCAAGAACTGCGATACAGGAGAAAAGTGCAGCAGCAGTGGAGGGATTTTGCAAGAGCAATGGAGCTGACAAGTCATGTAGTTATCCCCGACTTCAGCGACTTCCACAAGGCTGCCCAAAATTAGGCACTAATTGCAGCTCAACACAACAGCCAATGGAACCAGGCCACATGACACCACTCTGGCATGCTTGCAGTGTCCTGACTCTTCAGCTTGTTGAAGGGATCCGCCCAGGCGAAGCAGTCAGACCAAGGATTGCGCTACTGCCTGCAAACAGACACTTACTAGCTATACGGTTCCAGTATAAATACTCTGGCCAAGCCCACATCTCTGACCAACATCACTACTCAACATTTCCAGCCTCAACTGCTCCAGTCGTCCCAGAGTTTAAAAAGGGACTTTTCCATATGTAGAACATTGCAGGAAATCACATCCACCATCATCCCAGTTACTCCTTGGCTCTGCAGCATCACAGCAAAGCCCCAACATGTGCCTCTCATCTCCTTTGCTGTGCCTCTTGCTGAATTACACCCTACATCCTCATTCTTAGATAGCAACTTTCCATACTCATAACAGGGCCTCTTTCAACAGTTTTTCAGAAAGAAAGATGGTAAAGAGGGGCAGAAAGCCTTGCAGAAATCCCGGTAGCAGAAAGGTCCACCTTAGCTATTAGTGAAAAGCTTTCAGCTTTTACCTGTAGCAGTTCTGAAATCCAGTCTCATGAATACTTGTGAGCAAAACTACTCCAGAACCACACCACTCCTCTCTACCTGCCCTTCCTCCTGCTCCTGCCAAGAATGTTATAAAAGTCAAGTGCAAGAAAGTGGTTTCTCACTCCACTAGGTTTTTCAAACACAAAAAGGTATCCAGGGAAAAATGCCATTTAAAACAAAACTAGGCAGACACAAGCATGGAATAGTATCTGATCTAAAATTAAGACCTCCTTAAGGCTCACAGCACAGAGGGCTAGGAAATTCCTGAATGGGTTTTGTTTGATATGAGCATTTGTTTAAATTGCAAACTTAAGATGAAATCTGGACCAAACATACAGTTCCCAGCTGTATTGTGGTCTATAAAGAAACCCAGTATCCCACTAGATTATCTGTAGCATGTATGCTTGCACACACAACCCTCAGGCATCAGTGAATGAGTTCTCACTAGAACTTTAAGTCAGTATGTATTACTGTTTTCACACTGCACTAAATATACCACACAAACAATGTATTCCCAGCCTCCAGAGCCAGACGAAAGTTACAGCTGTTTAAGAAACACTGCCAAAATACATTAATAAGTGAAATCCACTTTTTCTTGTTCTTACTAACGTTGACCCACCTGCACAGCTGATGAATGACCAATCAAATCACCAACCAGCTCCAAGAAATACATAGGTGTATTCTCCTGTATCTTCTTAGCAGCTTGGTTTGGCTGCTTGTTTGCCCTTCCAAATCCCCACATGCTGAAAAAGCCGGGGGGGGGGGGGGGGAAAGAAATTTTATTTTGGCAAAAATCACAGTTTATTTTCTCTAGCTAAAAAAGAGAACTACAGGAGCCTGTCTAAAAGCAGGACAGTCTGTGTGGCAAAATGACAGAAGCATTGTACTGTGAAGCATTTCTATGTCTGGATTCTTAATCTTGAGGAGAGAAGGAAACAAAGCAACCCTGTCTTTTGTCCTTTCAAACATGCCTAATTAGTCACCTGGATGAGACAATATATGATTTAGCAAGAAGTTCAAAGACTGCCTAAATGAACCAACCCAACAGCAAAGGTAGATGCAAGACAGTGATGTTTACTTTTGCTCTGTCCTCCTAAACTGTTATTTGTGCAAAGAGAGAACTGAGGTGCCAGTCTCTCTCACCCCTGCACGTCCTGCCCTAAGGCATTAAGAGTGCTGGCTGACACTGGCTGACACTGAAATTGCCTGTTTTTATATCGCCCACTGGCTTTCTCCTTCAGATTTATAGCTATCAGCCAACCCAGAGTGTAAAGGTAGTACTTCACATTCCATTCAGATAGCAAGAAAATATGTATTTGTGCCACAACATCTGGAAGAACTGTGTAACACTACTGACAGAAGTAAGAAAGCTGGGTTCCGTACACAATGCAGTCCAAACTTTCTTCCTGACCCTTCCCTCAAGCCCATTAGCACACAAAACAGGAAGTGTGCTCTACCATGGCCCTGGTGCAAGCGAGAACTGGAGAGATGGCCAACTACTCAGGGGATTCTTTTGAATAAATATGGAGCAAACCAACTGCAGTCCACCTTTCTTACTATTACATATGGTTTCTTTCAAATGTCTCCAATCATAGAAGTTATAATTTTCCAACGTGAAATGAAATACCACTTGTCACAATAAGAAGCAGACCTGTGTAGATCAGCTGTCACCAGCAATACTGAAGACAGAACATTCCTGAAAAAGTGTTTCTAAATGAACCCAGGCAGCAAAAAGATATTTGCAAAAACTACCATCAGCAGCTGAACAGCCAGGTAGACAAGATACATCATGAAAATTATTCACAGCTTAAATAAAAAAATTTCAACATAAGAGTAACAACTCATTACTGTTCCCAGTCCATAATACTACTTACATTGTCCAGAGCACCTGTCCCATGACCACAACTACCAGTGCCCAGGGAAGTTGCTGGCCTGGTCAAGGAGCAGCAAGCACTACACAGGCAATGTCTGTACTTCGGGAAAACACTTCCTAAAAGACTAGCAACTCGCCCTGAGGACTGGGACACCCAAAGGTAGTATGTAAGTGAGGCTGGATACAGCCTCAAAGTAAGTCCCAATGTCATTCCAAGTCTAAAGAAGAGATGTGGACAACACATTTTTTTGTGCCAGCTGTTCATCTGCAAGCTTCTCTTTAGGTTTCTTCACAAGGTCCTGCAACTATTTACTCTTGCATGGTAGAGGATGCAGCACTATTCACTAAAAGAAGTGGACCAAAAGTTTGTCAGGAGAGGCTATACTTTTTGTTAAACCAGCTGATACAACTCTAAATAAGCTCTACAGTACAGAACTGCTTCAGCTGGACCTTCTAATTTGGTACATCAGATCTTGGAGGGCTTGTACACCCATGTCTTCTTCAGTTTCTCTCCCACATCTGTTACCAGTTTATTGAACACAAGACATTATATCTTCTTATAAAGCCTGTACGCCTCCCTATTCCTACATAGTGAATACAGGGTTTCCTGTCATCCTTTTTAAATGTTCTTTTCACCCCCACTACTAGCAAACCTGTTGGAACCGGTTCAGCTGGCAGCTGCTGCTTTTCTCGGAGCTCCCAAATGCGCACACTGCCATCTTCTGAACAGGAGATCAGCTGCCTGTAAAAACAGTTGATACGCAACACTAGCATGGGTACTCATCTGCACAAGTCACCTTATGATGTTTCTATAAAAGAGATAGAAAGTGCCTCAGGTTCTACATGTTTGCTAGAACTCTCAAATGTAGCAGGACATCCAGATGTTCCATACAAAACAAGGTGTATTTGTAGCAGGACAAACTATAACGTACTTGCAAAATAGGTGGGAAAAAATACACGTTGAATTGCGTTTTAAAAGCACACCACTCAAAAAAAATAACAAGCCTAGACTCTGGAAACACAGTTTCATGAACTGGCTTCCATGAGCTCACTTACATTACAGAAAAACTTTTTTTTTTTTTTTTTAACGGAAAAATAACAAAAGGAAGGATACACCTTTTCATTACATGTTTGGAACGGTTTAGAGCAGCACATGCATCTACAAGATCAAGGCCCTAACTTTTATCTTCTGGCAGACTCTTACTCCATTGAACACCAGTATAAAGGGATCCAACAATGCAACTATTAGATTATATATATGCAGCAAATTGTCCAACTTGGATGTAAAAATAAGTTCCAGCTAGAAATTCAGCACTAATAAGCAAAGACTGGAAGTTATAATTTCTTGTCAAAACTTTTCAACTGTTGCAAAATATTTAGTAAAAATATTTGCTGAATATGCCATAGACCTTTGCTTTATAGAAATAAAATGCCATTAAACTATATTTTCACAATGTAGACCAAAGTGCTTTACCAAGTCCGATTCTGAAAACAGCCAAGATATTTTACTCCAAGCCTGTACATCAAGCATAGTGGATTATAGTTTTTTTCCCCCACTGAATTACTATGACGCAGTCTCAAAATCAGATCAACAAGTTCTATGTAATAAAATCAGATCGAACTAAAGATCAAGTCCCTGCCCTAGAAATTAGGCATAGCTTTCAGACTGCCTTTAGCCACCCTTCCAAGTTCTGCATTTCTTTACTGCATTAACAATATGTACCATGACTCGTACCCGTTCGGAAGCTTCTCAATGTGCAGTACAGACGAGTCGTGAGCAGTTCTCTGCCAGGCAATCACACGCTTCATTTGAAGATTATATACGTGTATGCCTTTCCCAATCGCAGCAAACACACACTGGAAAGAAAATTCAATGGAACAACTTACAGAAACAGATACTGAAAGATCACTCTGTGTGTAATAGATTTCCAGCAGTACCATGATGTCATTGAGCCCGCATTATATAGCTTGTTTCTGTCCTCGTGTTACTGCTTTATCCCAAACATACAGAATCAGCAAGTTATAGAAAAAATATGGACTTTTTGGAGGAAGTGAGAGATAGCCTCACAGCTATCAGAGCAGCTGTTTAATTTCTGTATTTTCATCCTGTACCTTACAGTCTAAGCAGAAACCAAGCATACCAACAAATCAACAAATTTCTGCAACTAAACATTTATGTTCTTACACTAAAATAATGCTCTGTGTTTTGACAAACTCTTGTTTTACAAAGAAAGACTGAGAATACAGGAAGCTGTTCTGCATTTTTGCCTTTTTTTTTTTTTTAATTTAACTGAAGCCGCACAAAGAGGTATTGCTCAAGCATTTGCGTTCTACTGAGCGTAGAAAAGGAACTCTCTCACAGAAAGGTATTACACAATACTGCAAAGATCTGGAATCATTTTGCATACAAGCTCTTCTTCAGAAAACTGCAGGGATTTCATCTCGTAACTGTCACAGCCCTAAGAAGCAACAAACAGTTTACAAATCACTGGACCTGGACCCTCCCATGACTTGTAATGATTTTAGAGAGGACAAACTGTATATACACACAATAAATACTTGGTACCAAACAGAGGAGTGCAAAATGTTTCCATTCAGTCCATATGTGGGTTTTGAACATACCTTGTTTAGGTAATGGTATGCTGGATCTTTTCCCTGAATGGCCTATTTCCATCTACACAGCCCAATGGGGGGGGTGGGGTTTATTCTTACACACATCTGTGGTGGGAGCTCCAACAGCACTGAAACTAAGCTCAGATTTCTGATTGCTCTCTTCCAAATCAAGGAAAACACACTGAGTTTATTTTTATTATTTTCCTAGTTTTGTGTGGGGCTCAATTCAACGACCTTTCACACCACTCTCCCACTCCTATATCTCAGCCTTTTCTCCCTTACAGTCTTCTACCTTGAGACAGGCTCTCTTGAGTTTCATACAGTCTTACTGTTTTACAAACGATGCTCTTGACAGATCACTTTTTTTAACACACAAGCCACAGCAAAACCCTGGTCATCTCAAACCCCAAGAAAATAACAGACGATGAAGCATAAATTGTACACCTATCTTAACAGGCAAGTTAAAACACACACACACGTATCAGGACAGCACATGCACCCCTTAGCACTGTTTCCTCCTACTGCCAAACCTTTACCATCCCATTTGTTTCTGAATGATGTTTTGCCTACAAGCTCAGTGTCAAGCTAGACAAGTGCATCTTCTCCAACTACCTGACTACGAAGCCTGCTGACGAAGTTCCTAACAGAGAAAATACCAATTTAAATTTTTTTTTTTTTAACATGAAGAACAGTGTTCTGCTTTTAACATAGTAATTAATTATAGGAATACATTTCTTCACCACTTGCCAAGTAGGAACTTTACAATACAGACAGCTCTGCCCTAAAAGCAGCTTGTATTTCAGGATGTAATGCTCAAACCACCTTGTCTTCCTACCATCTAAAGTACCGTAAATGAAACTCTGCAGCTATTTTAGTTTAGTTCCATGAATGAAAGAAAGTCCTCAGCAGCCGCAGATGCCACAGTTTTAATTACTTCTGAACTTCTCAGAATTCTTTTCCCCTCCCTTAAAACACATCTTGTATAGCTTTCAAGCAGGAAATCAAAGTGTTTTGAAGCCAAATTATAGAAATTCTCCTGAACAGGATTGGCTTTTTGCTCCTTCTAGAACTGAGAACCCACAACAAAACCACTGGAAATGCTACCTTTAGAGACAACTACATCTCCCTCAGTTCAGGCCTACACCCCACAGTGTTTACCTCTCCAGTGTTTTAGCAACGCTCTTTTCACAGACAAATGTGACAGGTAACTACCTGGCCCTCAGCCTACATTAAGGCTTTCCACAGCTTTTATTTTTTCAGAGCTCTTATCTCCGAATCAATTTCCAGGAATCCCCTCCTTATTCATTCCCAAGCAAGTGGCCTACAGGCCCCAAAACAGAATCCCACTGTACCCCAACTATGAAACATTTTTCTTTTGCCAATAACAGTAATATTTCACAAACATAAATAACAACCTGAAGATTTTTAGTGTTTCCTGAACAATAACTGGATTCTGCCTAAATATTCTAGGAACTCTTTCACTATCTACAAAGTACGCTTACCATTGACTGGATTTTGGCTCTTTACATTTGAGTATAGCCCATCTGAACAGAAGCAGCAGTATTTATTTACTACTAAGCATAGGCGTATTTTTTAATTCACTTCATAGTACCCTCCGCTACAACTGTTCAAGAGTCGCATTATTGTGGGAACTTCATATTCTGTGGTTCTGGAAATGCAAGATGTGTGCCATCAAAACACACACCTCCTCTTTATTTCTCTCTAGTGGTACTGTAAACAACTAATAAATCTTTGTTAGTCAAAAAGAAATGCTGTCGTGACAGCCCATTATGTTAGTTCCCATACCATCAACATATTACAACCTTCAGTCAGCTCAGTGACCAAAATGTCATATAAAAACTGTTGACTATATGAAAATAGCTGTGCATGTTTTAAAGAAGCATCTCATACTGAAACAAGCAAACTGAAAACACAAAACACTTGGCCTTCTATGGTAATGTCATGCTAGCTCACTTGAAGTAGTTTACTCTGTTTAAAGCTTTGTACCTCCTCATCAGATGTCAAGTGTTGAACTGAAGTTTCATTTGGGCTTTGGGATAACTTTATTTCTGGCTGTACAGAGGAGTCCCAGAAGTTGCACTCAGATGCCTGCTTTGTCCAGTCAAGTGCATCCCAAACTATTAACTCACCCACATGAGAACCTGTCACAAAAGTCAAGTCTAGAGGGGGAAAAAAAACACATAGAAATCACACGACATAAAAAAATCATAAAAATCATTTCACACAAAGTTACAACCCTAGAAAGTCAAGAGAGCCCATTTTCAAGTGAAGCTATGTGGAATGTGCAGTACATGACCGACAGGACAAAAACCTCTCCCTCTGAGTAAATGCTCACTTGATTACCTAGCATAGCTCAGATAAGCAAACTGAGACGAGCTCTCTCTTATAAAATTAAAACTAGAATGGAGAACATTCACTGGCCACAGTTCACAGTACCATATTGCAAAGGCAGGGAAGACCACCAGAAATATGTACAAGTATTTGAAGTTTATTTGCTGCCCACATACAAAACCCTTCTAGTCCTTGGACAAGTATGTGTATAAGCACCCTTCAGACACAGCAAAGTATGGCTTTGCCATACACAGAAATAATGATCACAAATTAAATGGATGAGTTAATGGCAAGATTGAAGTAGCTGCTCAGGAATTTGTTAATCACACAGGGAAGGGAACTGCTTCAACAGTACTTAACACAGGTTACATACTGTCTTTTTAATCCAAACATTGCTTCCCCTTCGTAATCAAAAAGGAGAAAACAACGGCAACAGGAAACCCCAGAAAAAAATACCACAGAATCTAAGTTTTCTTCTTTCGAGCTTCTTGCTACCTCTGTACCACAGCCCCTTGGTGCCAACCAGTCTGACACAAATAAGCCCCAGGACAAATACTCACTCTACCACACCAGGAATAACTTGTCCTGGGCTCTGGGGGTGCTCCATAAAAAAAGACAGGGAAGAGAAAAGCAGAAGCAATTGACACTGCTGGTAGCAGAGTAGAGAGAATTTCAGGCAAGACCTCAGTATTGCCCTAATGAGCAGCAGAGATTGCATCATCTTCGAGAGCCTCTAAATAATGCACCTATATGCAGGCCCACATCCACACACCCAGAACTTTCAGTTACCTTGGGACTACAACTGCAAAGGACATGGCATTGTATATTCCATTTTAAGAATCAGAAAGAACAAGAAAAAAAATAGCATTTCAAACCTTCCCAACAGGAAGACGACCCAGAGTTCCATTCCCATCAATGACATTGCTTCTTTTGTGCCTTTTCTACATGGTAACCTGCCTGGTTTCATTTCACTGTTAATCCATAAATAAAGCCATTACATTTTCACATTTCACTACCTTTTCAGCTACACAGAAAGATACATCTACTAGTTATGAAGTTTCACTCCAGTTAAAAGTTTGGTCCCAATAAAAACTCCACAATTGAAATATACCACTGGTAACTAATGAAACTAGTAACATTATAAAACGACCCTTACCATTGATGCTGACTAATGACAAAATGTTATCCTGATGGTCTACAAGGCGTTTTACTTCAAGGACATTCCAGCCTTCAGACCCATCATTAGAAGGAATCAACCTAAAAATTACTTTAAAGATATATAGAGAAATTGTCTAAATAAGCTTTATCATTCAGAATAAAATGTACCTATGCTTAAATACAACACATCATTTTCAGAAAGACACAAACTAAAACATAAGTGTGACAGTTACAGATGTGCAGAGCCACTTATGACCACTCATAACCCCCCAAAAAATGGGCACAAATTATTTCAGTGTTATTACTAATGCCTCTTACTACAGCAACTATAGGATAAAACATTTCAGCCCAGTAACTCTGAAATTCAGAGAACTGGTCAACATCAGAAGTTGCAGAAAGCAGAAGTGAAAAGTATTAGACATCTTTATGGATAAGTAAACTAGAAGTGAAACATCTTTCTTAAGGACTCATCTGACTGCAAATTACTATTCAAAAAGATATTCTTTAGCAAGGTCATCAACATCGCCAGGAATTAAGACTTTATTTTAACCATTCTTGGAATTTCTTTTATTCTATCTGAATGGCACTACAAAAGAACTGTGGGAAGTTCAGATGGAAGTTTACACTGTATACCAATGTATAAACACAAGACAACTATTTTTAATTTGCTCGTGATTCTTTGATCGGAATATCAGATTGCTATTTTTCAGGTAAGTGTTTAAATATATTGAGCAAAGACTGTTGTTTTGCTGATTCACTGCTCTGCTTTTCCTCCTGGATTTTCTTCCATATTTTGAAGTCTCAGTAATTTTATAAAAACACTCTTATTTAAAAAAAACTCTCCACCAACAGCTGGCCAATGATTTACAGTTTGCATACATATAAAACCCTGTCTCCAAGTGAGCAACAGAAACCATCACATTGTCTCATTATAGCTTTGCACATTATAATGAAATCGGCAATATCTCATACTTCGGATTTTGGGATAAGGAGACTCTAGAGAAGCCCAGTATCTGACATCTCAGACAACAAGATCCATACTTTCTCCAGAATGACAAATGTAGATCATCACAATCAGATCTCAAGAGGTGGCAATAACAGTAACAAAGAATACAGAAGAGTTTAGTCATGCAGATCTCAACAAAATTTCTGAATTAGATCATTATTGTTTGCCTTTGTCATATAAGTGAAAAAGGAAGAAGGTTGCTAATCGCACTAATACCATTTACTTTTCCTGTACAATTCCAGCAGTGTACTCTTTACACATATCTCCGATAAGCAGCTGTTATAGAGGAACACGAACATTTAACAGAAATGCACCATACTCACTCAGCTCTTTGCCAACAGCTGCCGCAACACAATTTTTAGGCAATTCAACCAAAGCACTGATACCTTTGAAAAAAAATACAGGAGAAAAGGATATTTGTTGGCCGCAAGAAAACACAACAAAATGTTAACTCTTTTATTACTAAAGTTCTTCAAAATCTTGCTTTCACTTATAAGTTACCATTAAAAAAAAAGCATATTGCCTAAGTGAAAGTTCAATGGCATTGCAAGAGAACCAATTACCTCACATGGAGTTAAGAGTCAGGAGTTTTGGTCCTGAATCCAGCAGAATTCTGAATGTCAAACTTGAGGTGAAGCTGAGAATCAATAATCTTCTTATTTTAAAAACAGTTAATATTGTCCTAATGCTGGGCAATATTAAGGACACTGTGGTAATTACTGAGACTCTAAACATACGCAGTACCAAAGTTATTAGATACTGACACTACCACAGTATTCACGATACTAAAATATGGTGCAGAGCCAGCTGAAGAAGAATAGGGCACAAGATAAAATGTCCAGCCTGCTGTTACTCTGCCTTCATCCTGCACAGAATTCCCCCAGTCTGTGCTGCCACATCATTAAAGGAAAACTCCCCAAGGAATAAGCCATCTGTCTCTTTCTCCATACAGGAAGCAAGACATTAGGAGGGAAAAGAGGCCCCATGCTACACATCCCATTGACCCATTATACAAAAGTTTCAATAGCACCTCACGCTAAGCACTACAGCACCACTTCCAACTGGTATTTGGCATGATATTTCATACTGAACCAAAAGAAGTATTAATATCCTCAAAGATTCAGAAGGTTTTGCCTACCACTACTTCATTCTATGACAAAAAGAAGGAAAATATTAGTTCCAGCTTAGAATTTGATTCACAGCTTCACAGATATCTTTGTAAATTATGGCAATAATATGCCACAATTTCCTTCGCATGGACAGATAATATATAAGCTTACTATCAGAAAAGCATGATTGACATAGACATCTGATTACATTTACTGTATTTCTATCAAAACCTGCATTTTTCTACATCAAAAAACCTCATTCCTAATAAAAAGAAGTCTTTACTGTTCTACTACTACAAAGCTTTACTTAGCAATAATACTCCTACCCATTCACAGAGAAAGCCAGCCAAAGGATCTGGTCTTCATTACAGCAAACATGTATAAATCAGCATCCAAGCTCTAGCCCTTTAAGTCCAAGCTAATGTACAGTTACTGAGATTTGGTATGTTCTAAAATTCACACAGCACAGGAGATTAAAAGCAGTCTTAATTCAGAAACGATTAAGTCTGACATTTAAAAAAGAAGAGTAGCTCTAATACATAATGTTATCATTAGAATTAAAAAGAATTTGCCAAGTTGGTTTTGCATCATTATACAGATCCATTTTACTTGCACTTTTAACAGCTATAATGAGTCATTTACATTTTTACCTGCATCAGTAAGATGACTGGTCTTACACAGGAGATCTAATTTTCGGTTCCAAACACAGAGATCACTCCCTCCAGACAACCATACATCCAGTCTTTGAAGAACTGTCAAACACTGCAGAACAAAAATCAGATATATGTCCCCTGCAAAAGTTCCACCGGGAATTTCTCAGTGAAATGATCATGAGCTTTAGCTAGATAAAGCTGTAAGTACTATGAAATATAGGATTAAGGTGTCACTTTCCTGAGAAATACAAAATTAATTACACACTATATGCTACATTTTTTCCATCGACAATGCAAAAACTGATTTTTCAGTGTTTTTTTTTCTATTATTAACATTCAAGAACTGGTTTGACTGTAGGTTGCCTTTTCCAACACAGTAACAAAACCAAGCCATAAAATGAACTTCGTTCTACATGCTTTCTAAAAGAAAATTGAGGCATTAGCAGTTCCAAAAACCAAGTTAATAATTGTGCCCACTTCTCAGCCACTCACTATGTACCTGTTCTTAAATCAAACACTGCTGTTCATTTTAACAGACCTGTCTATATGGCCCATGAACATACACATTAGATTCTTGTATACAACAAAACAACAGACATACCTATGGTTTCCTGAGCTTACCTTTACAGTAGAATGGAAACATGACACTTTCTGAATCTGTCTACCACTAGTGCAGTCCCAAACCTGACTTTATTCATTAAGGAAACAAAGGTTTTTATATATTGTAAATATAACTGCTGTGTTTGTAACCAAGTGACAGACTGGGAAATAGGTATGCAGAAATTTAGTCTACTAAATCCCTACTGTCTTTTCATTATTTGGCCAAAAAGACATACTAATAAAGGTCTGTTACGGATTTATTTTTGTAGCAAGGATTGCATATACTTGTGAGCAATAACTAGTAAGATCCTAGTTTAATACAATTATGCCTACTGGATATTATCAGCCTATAAACAATCTGCAGCCTGTCTCAATGCTACCTAGCAAAAAGGCTACAGAAATTTGAATCCTCTCCAGATCTAAGGATACAAGAACTGTTTTATCAGCTGATGCTGTTAAAATAAAATGCTTTTTTTCTTCAGAAGCACCTGATGAAGAAAATGGTGCTATAGCTGTAATTTTGTGTGTGTGTCCATGAAGCTCAAAAAGTTTTTCTCCGGTCTGAAAAACAAAAGCAGAGAAAACTAAGGGTTAAATTTGGAAAATGCCTATTGTAGCATATGACATAGGTAGCAAATGACTTTCGAAAGCAAGAATATCTAAGACTCTAAAATATCCCTTTCTAAAGTAATTTATGAATTTACTGCCTACTAACTTCAATACTGTTCAAGATCTTACCCAGAATTAAATAACCTATTAAGTATACGTGTAAAGGAGTATCACATAATAAAAATTACTCTAAAAATAAAATTTAAAAATCTATAAAAGCCCTTAAGAGCTAAGTTCTGTATTAAACTTGTTTCACTTTAATGCAAATATTGGCCATTTACCCTTTTTAATGGATATTACAGTAATTCAGATTTGTTGACAAACCCTCTCTTGAAAATGTAATTTTTTTTGATTAATGACAGAAAAGCTTGACCTATACTTACAGCAAACACAGTACTGCTAATTTCATGACAATATTTAGTATGTACATTATCTATAGTTTCAGGTTGGTGGTTTAGATAACTGCAGCTACTTCTACTCTATTTAGCTAGACAGCGAAACCCTACAAATGTATATGCAGAAGCATGCTGGCATTTTAAACGTGCAATTAAAATACAGGGTAGTTATAACTGTAAACTTCTTTACCCTTATTTGTTAAGTTTTTAAATTAAAACTATAAAAGGTTTGCTTCAACAAAAATATAATGAAAATTCTACAGCTGGATATCTAAATTAGTTTTACATTTACAAACTTCTCAGAACACTGAGTACATATACTCACATACGTGGCTTTCAATATTCAAAAACAATTACCTCTTCCAAATTATAGAATTATAAACGGCCTTCAACAACAGCAAAGCACTGATACTGCTCAAAAGAGAGAGAGTTTCAAGTTCCTCCTTCTGTATTTTAAAGTTACACCACCATAAACACCACAGAATTTTTTCAGGTTTCTAAAACAGTTTACAGTCTGAGATTTCTTTCTTCCTTAATTTGAATGTTTGATAACTCGTCACAGTTGAGACAGAACAGTATGTCTCCCTTTTAGACTTCCTATTGAACAATCTAACTTTTATACTAGCCCTCCTTAACACAGGTCTAATGCTTATCCCTTTTCTGTAATTTTGTCAATGATATGGGGACATAAAGCAGAAGAGCAGAACAATGGGTATTACACTTACAGAGCACTATTTCTATGATAAATCTAACATATTAGTAAAGTTTTCAAAAGTTATAGGAAGATTTTTATCACAGCAAGCAATTAAGGCCTTGTTTCTGCACTGCATGAAATGTTTAACTTCGGCCAACTTTGGTGTCTTCCCAATACAGTTATGTGTTAGCTCTCCATTTAGTCTAATCAATTATACTACAAACAGATATTGCTAATAGAGCCACTAAAACATACTTAAAACTTAAATATATACATACACAAATCTTGGCAGCATTGGGACCTTGCTGTTGAGTTACCAGTCAACTTTTCGGTGTTTACAGCAAACACCAAACATACTTTAAATGAAGAATTAAAGCCACAAATTCATACACACTTCTGCTTTTCACATCATCATTTCATATCAGATCTCCCTAAAATCACTGTGTCTTCCCAAAACAGTCTAACTTTTAAAACTTACTGTTCTCATGGGTTCACGCAACTTTTACCTTCCTAGCTCTCCTTTATAAACTAAGACAGACTCCCTCCACTTGCACATTTTCAAACAGTAGCTCTGCAGCAATTCTTCTTTATTCTGCTTTTCGCTATTAGACATTTCTAACTCCTCTCCCCAACTTTCACCCTGTCCAGAGCACACAAGCTACCCCCCCAAAAAAAAGAGCTAACCTGAGCATTCCACAGAAATATGATTCCATCATCTCCTGCAGACGCAAACCTGAAATGAAAAAGGGGGGAAAAAAAAAGTGCTGTGAAAAATTCAATACAGCACAGCAGAATGGAAAAGCAGTAGAGAGTTATGTAAGAAAAATATTTGCAAGATATATCAGACTCCAGCTTTAAAGAATAAACATATATTTGTAAATCCCAATTAGAGTTTATAAACTGAAGTCAGTACATTTAAAGAATTCCCACACATACTATCACAAATAGGACTCCGACATTACAGAACCATTTTTCTTACTTAAAAACATGAGATCTTACACACAAAATAACAGTGTGCTCTAAAATTAAATACTGTTATTCAGAGCCAACTGACTGCAAGACATCTAAGAAGTTACAAACCACTCATCCAAGTTCAGCCAAGAAGGGGAGGACCCCAGTATTTACCATGACTTTAAACTGTGGCTTAAAAGAACTCCCAAAGGGAGTCCATTTAAGCTGCTAAATTTGACTTCTGCTAAAAATCCAGCTAGAAGGCATACCATGTGAGGAAAAAACAGGTTCATATTAGCATGTTAATCTCACAGTAACAAAGTCTGACCTAAATTCGACCTTTTTCCCTAGGCTAGAGTGAATACCTAACTATCTGCCTAGGTTTGCACCTTCTCACCACCACAGCTACACTGTAGCTGGAGCACACCTCCCAGCTATGCCAGTCAAGGTGTACCATGAGTTCACAAAGCCTAGAATAGAAGCAAGACCTTCCATAAAAAACTGCATTCAGTTGTTACTTACAAATATACCTACCTCCTCATTTCTCCTTCTGCCTTAAGCCTTCACCGTGTGTTAAACAGATAATATTTACCGAACTAAGACTGATACTATGTGCAAGAAAGTGATGAAGAAGAGAGGTTACATCACTTCTGAATTTTTTTCTGTTACCAGCTCTGAATGGTTTCATTAACCACTTACATGTCCTTTCTTTCAAACACTTTGCCATCACAATGTTTGTGAAACTTGCTAACAGACTAAGTTTTCAGGCATAAAGCAACAGGGTTCCCCCTCTCCTTTCTTCCACACATCCTCCTGTCTTACTCTATTATAGTTGAAAAAAAAAAAAGCATAAGCTGTACTTTCTTTGTATCTTTCATTATTTTATATCCAATTAAGCCCCTCTTTCAAAAAGGTTAGAGCAAAAAACAATCTTCCATGCACACCTCTGATAATATTAATCTTTAGTTCCCTTTTAGCTCTATTACACCTTGTTTTTTCACAATGTCAAGAACTTAATAAGACTTTCACAATTCGGCAATAACCCTTTAAACTTCAACTCCTTTCTTGCGTATTGTTGGAGCTGTGTGCCACTTGAACAAAATATGGGTAAGGCAACTGGTGTTTGAAAGGAGGCATGAGTGTAATTCATCAACACACAAGTTCAATAGGGTGCTGTCGTGTGTATTTTCCTCCTCATCTTCTCACCAGGACTTCTGTTTAAGTATAAAGGTATATTGTAGAGTCAGTTATCCTGCAGTCACATTCTGTTCACCAAGGTGGAGATTCACGGGTCACCTGATTCTTTTTCAGTTATGATCACTCTCATCTATAACCTTGTCTGTTTCCTGAAGGAGCAAGAAATGGTCAAATAAGTAACAAAAAAAGCTATTCTTAAAATGTGTTATGAACTCTGTTTAGTTTAATGTGTCAAATGCTAGAGTATTACATGCAATTTTATCTCAGTCCATTTTTTTCAAAGACTCTTGCTGAGGCTTAGCTTTCTTTAGTGATCTTCCAATCAATATGACCCCTCACTTCATGTTCAAAAAGTACATGAGAAAAGAAGAAAAAAAACAGCTTTCTGTTACGTTTATACAGGATTTATTTAGTATCTTCAGAAACCAATCTGAGAAAATTTTCCACTCACTGGTTTTAGCTGAGCCACTGAGAAAACAAGAAAATCCTTCTGCAAAATTCTCAATAAGATGACATTATCTCAAGACCTGAAGCGTGAAACTTGGCTTACAACAGTTGACAAAAAACACACAATGGAATAGCTGCAGAAACTAAATAAAAACATTTCAGAAGCTGAGTAACAGTACCAATTTTACTGAAATGAATCACGTGAAAAATACTATCAGCTGTTTAACAATCCAGAAACTACTATATTCTTGAAAAATAAAACCTTAGAATTACTGTCCAGTGAAGCGACTCTATTAAACTCCTTAAAATCTCAGAATATTAACCAGCTATATAACTTACTCCTTATCCATATGCTGTTTTATAACCTATCCTCAATGCAGCCATCCAGGCTTCAGTTTTACACTGATTGTCATTAGTTTAGCTTCAACAATTTACCTGCTACCATACAATGAAGGCCCAAATGGTAAAAGATCCCTTTACATCAAAGGGGGGTACAGTCTAAGAATACTCTGGTATTTCTGTAACAACCAATGACATTTATTGAGTATGTGTTTTGGGAAAAATGTGCTTTGAGGAAGCGTTATTAAAATAAACTAGTGTGGAAAAAACCCACAAGATTCTCCTATTTTTATATGAATCTTCTGTTGGATTACTACAACGTAGAAAAATTAATTCTACGGTAATGCATGTAACTTTTCTGATATAAATATATATGACGTTACAAATGAAAACTGACAAGCTAAAATTTCTCCATGAACTCTTCTGTGAATTTTTTCTATACACATTTACAAAATTCTTAGAAAAGAAGATTCTGTGGGCATTCCAAATTTAGAAGAGACCACCTGCTCAATCAATGTGCATAGGGGAAGGAAAGAACCTTCCTTCACAAAACACCTACTGTACACTGCAAGGATATAAACCAAACGCTTACCCATGTTAACTTTGTATATAGTGTATTGATTAATATATTAGAAATCCCCTTCTGTGCCTAATCCATAAAAGACATAAATTACTACAGCTCCTTAACAGAGACTCTTGCCTATTACATTCTTAGTTCTAAAGGTTTTCTATTTAATTCTCCACATCAGCCAGGAGTCACTACACTTCTTATTGACTAAAGGCTTCACAACCCTATTTTTAAGGCAGATAAATATTTCCTGTCATGCAGGATTAAGATAAATTAGAGAACATGCAAGGCTAATTTAGACAAAGCTAGGACAGAAGCCAGGCCGTAACGTAAAACTATCATAATTCATTCTCTCAATCACACTTCCAAAGTGACAAAAGCAAATGTAGGGACTTAATCTCTGCTTCATAGCCAGTTTTCCAGTTCTTAGATCACTCCATCCTCAGAGTTCACAATAAAGTTGGACCTAGCTACAAGGAACTAAGAACAGAATAGATAACAATTGTCAGGGAAATCTACAAAAACAGCGTACAAAGATAAAGACTAGGAGAGAGAAACAAAGGAAATGTTGGGTTTCAAAGAAGTACGGCAATGAAAAAGATCAAACTGGAGGAGACAGGTAATGCAGAGATTAGGCATATATTGAACTCTACTAAGCAGTCATTCTGAACAAAGTGGTGAAAATTCCAAAATCTGGTAAGTTCTGAAAAAAATTGCATTACTTGAAGCTCAAGTGAATTAAGCACTAGAGTTTCAGAAGAAAGTGCTATAAAATACTGGGAAGAAAGGAAGAACAACATTCAATATTGTTGAGACTGTCATGTTCAATTGCTACAGTGTTTCTGTAGGAGTCTATTACATTATTTTGTAGAACCAAAAGGTGAAATAACCACTGTCATCAATGCAAATGCATGAAACACATACATCCACTCAGAACTGAAGCAGACACTACTGCGTATTGTCCTGGGACAAAGTGTGGCATGTACAGAAGGGAATGTACAACCTATGAACAGCCTGAAAAAGAAGGGCTGAACTAGCTAAAGGCATTTCTTTCAAACAAATTAATTTGTACCAAGAAACCTAACTCTATCACCATTATTTTCTCATGAAGTTATAATTTACAAGAGAAGCCAAAAGATACAGTATCATACCAAGAAAAAGGAGTGTTCACCCCTTGCCTTTTTTAACTCTAGGCTTTTCCTGCCCTCCCCCACCAAAAATAAAGAGAGGATTAAAAATATTATTACATTTTCATAAATACTCTCTGAAGTATTGCCAACGATGCTGTGAAACAATTTGAAATGTGATTTCATACCTGCAATCATCTATTTGCACTAGAAATCGTACTATATCTTGATGGCCTTTCAACACAAGGAGCTCCGTATAAGGGTTCTGTATTTGTTCTTCACCAATTGTCTGTACAGATGATTTCTAAAATTCATGAAAAAGGAACGAAATTTATTTTGTACTGAAATAATTATTTTCATCAGGTCTTTGTAATGTCTAACAATCTACATATAGGTACATGTGTGAATGTATAGTTATATTTGAAATTAAATTAAGTTTCTGAAATATCATTTTGCCTTAATAAAAATAATTACAAAAGATCATGTCTTCTTATTTCAAGTAAATAAGATGTTTCTATAGCATGTATTTTAAATTATAATATAGCATCTTCTGTTTAACAAACACATTTTTTATGTCTTTAATCACTGATACACCAAGATGAAAACCCAGTTTAGTCATGAGCTGTCATGTGGAGCCAACTTCAAGACTCAATTCACCCTATACTCAGTTTTGCATAAAATACACCTCTTCTGAAAGGTCTGTGAACCTCTCATATCTTTCATCTCCTGTTCAATTTTTAAATCCTATATAAAGATGACATATTTAAAATAAATAAGAATAAGAATAAATGCTGTTCTGTTACATAATATATAAATCATCCGTTGGGACTCTATTCACAAAATACAAAAGCAAACCACTTACAAAAACACAGAAAAATATTAATCATTTTCTAGAACAGCATCTGCAATTACCTCCAACTAGACTAATAATTGAAAGAACAATCAATCACTCAGAGCAAGCTGATCACCAGGCAGGGTCAATAAAATATTGCATAGGACTGCAGTTTCAAGGCACTACAGTTCTGCTTATCTCAATCATCAGTTTGTGAAAGACCTTAAATACAAAAAAGTTGTCTGCTATTGAAACATTCTGGAACAACTTGCTATTAGACATTATTTAAAAAAAACAAATAAACAACTAAATAGCTCAGTAGTAACTCAGTGACATCACTCCCTTCCTTCTAGATTCATTTTACGTGACAGTCAACATCATCTTACTTCCAGGACTGTCTCTTCTTTGAGGACTTCAGCAAAAGCTGAACTGTAAAACAGAAACTACTGAACACCATACAACATGCAGCATACATGGGAGGTAATCCTACATGAAAGGCAAACATATTCTCCTCAGAAACTTCAATATTTTCTTGCAGGAATAATAAATTATTTTCTATTACCTCTGTATCGGTACTATGATACTATTCTTCAGAAGTTAAGAATGACAAAGTTAATAAAAAGAGAAAGAAATCTGTATTTATTTTTAAAATGAAGAGGTTGTCAAAATGCTAGTTCTTGTGATTTTATCTTAGTTTTGTGCTATCTGATGCATTTCATGAAACAACTGTTCCTCATTTTATGCAATTATGTGTGAATAGCAGTTCCCATTTAAAATGATACAAGTAGATTCTGCATGATTATAAAGAAAAGTTGGACAAATATGGAAACTTGGAGCTCAGCTGTTAATCACAACATTCCTCAAAAAAAATTCAGACTTCTAAAACTCCTTAGCAAATCTCAGCATCACTGGATGACATTAGCAACACTGTAGTCAGAAGACTTCCATTTTTATTTACCAACAGAAGCATGCATTCACAAAACAATGGTAACATTGCTTTGAAGAAGTTAGAGTTTGTAACATTAACAACCCAAGTCTATATTCTGTTGTTGCTTCCTATTCAGTACAAGACTGTACTAATTCCTTTGAGCAACATGACTAATCTTATTTTTTTCTTAATTCTAAGAATGCCTGTGAATATTAAAAGGTACAGTGCTGATGAAGTACTATAGATAACAACAAAATAACAGTTTTTCCCCCAATACTGTCATACAACAAGCTCTGCTCTCTTCAGACCTTCATTAATATTTACCAAAGTGTTGGATTAGATGCACATTCTTTCTCCGAAGAAATCTATTTCTGATGTAAACTATTACTTGAACTCTCTTCTAGCACCATCAAGTTCTTAGAATAGAAAGCTAGATGCTGATGCTAATGGAATCCATTCCCAGCTTGCATGTTTTTATGCAGGACCTGTAAGCATCACTACCCACAACATTCATCTCAGCTTCAGAACTTCCTACAACCCCCGTGATCTGAAGCATTTTCAAGTGGGATTTTTTGAAAGCAATTCACCAAAAATATGGATACTTGAGTATACAGGTACACTTATGTATGCATCATGGAGCATGACGGATTAGCTTATACGGACCATGCTGCTACTGCAGTTAGACTGCTCCCATTACCAGAGCCACCCTGCTTAAGAGGTACGCCACGGCCATCAGCTGAAGAAATTCACGAGCTTAAGTCTACATGATCTTCAGCTCCATAGTAAAAAAAGAAAAGGGTAAGGAGAATTTTCCACCTCATTAATTTAGGACAGCTTTGCCAGAGGCTTTCTTCATTCACCCAGTGCAATGTCACTCTAATACATCTGGCTGGCTGAAGCCACAGCACATGAAACAAACACCATAAGTCCACAGCCCACATGCTGTAACGAGCTTCCTTATCTGTTTAAGGAGAGTACGGAGACAACAAATGGTTATGAAGATGATCTTTAGATGAAAAATATTACACAACACAGTAAAAAAGAAGAACAAAAAGAGTTTGGGGACTAACCCTTATGAATATTTGTTACTCAGCTTTTCCATAGATAAGCAAAATGATGACTGTCATTCAGCAAACTAGTGGCACCAATGTGAACAGAAGTCCTGTGGATCAGGTTTAACCTAGCTACAAATGGCAGAATGGAAGAACTGGACCACAGCTTGACTCATGCTTTACTAAATCACAGTACAACTAAACCATTGCCAGAGCGTAAGCTTTGGAGAGGGACACACACTAACATAGTTTTTCTAACTCTAGTTTCTACAGTTTTTCTAACATCTTAGAAAGCTGTTGTACACTTCCCATCTTTCTTGTAAAAACAAGTGCACGCAAACCGGCTAAATTCGACTGCAGTAAAGCCAACACTCTGCCTGATGCCAAAGGGCAGAGGCATTCTCGGACATCGTCACTGCAAATAGGCTCCGACTCAAACCTCCACCGAAGTAACTATCGGCATTTGAAATCAGCCGTGACACTGTTGTGGCCCGCTCACGGTCAGCAGCTGAAGAACAACTCCTTCCTCATACCTGTCTAGGTTACAGAAGCGCCAAGTGTTGGGAGCCGAGCAATAGTGCCAATTAACTCTTGTTAAGTCCGCGCTGAGAACTTCCGCGGAGCGTTAGGGACAAGGAAGCCCCAACAATCTCCGCCTCGAACCCAGCAGAACTCTTTTCCCCCAGCAAGGCGACGAGGAGGACGCCTGCGGCCGGCGCCCGACGCAGGCCTGCTTCGCTCTGCGGACGACGACACACCGAGGGGGAACGCCAGCAGACCGCCACAA